CCCCCCCCCCGCTAAGTCTCGACCCAAACTACTCCCCCACCTACTTCAATTGCACCTCGCAAGTATATTTTCATAGTTCTTTCATCGTCCAACATTAATATATTCTCTTCTCTCGTATTGATTTTTAAATATGTGATTTTTCTTTCCTATATTTATTGAAAAAAATAAAAAATTATGATTCTACAATCATACGATCTCCTTTGAATTAATTTAAAAATTATATTACCAAAACCTTATGATTCAGAAAATATGATTCTTCTATAACATAATTCATCACTGCATATATTTAGAGTAAAAAACAATTAATATTATTCATCTCTTCTACATTAGTATGATTCTTCTCCTTCTCATTAATTAAATAATACGATTCTTTTCTCCCCACAAAATTTAAATATAAAAACTTGGATTAGCATTTCTTGACAAAACAATAATTTAAAAAAATTATTAGAAATTCAACGATTCCACTCCGACCACTCCCCCACATTAATTCAAAAAAAATAATATAACATATATTAGTGATTTGATGATTTTGGATAGAAATTTCAAAAAATATTTAATAATTTTTTTTTAAAATTTTTTTTGTTTATTTGAATACACAATCATTCAAGCCTGCGAAAACATACTTTTCTTAATTTATTTGCTATAATAAATATTTGATCATTTAAAAAAATAGTCTAGTTGTTTGTTATTTTAAAATATTTAATTGTAGAGATTAAAATATATTTTTTATATTTTATTTAACATTGATATTGAAAATAAATATAATACGGACTACAAACTAACTTCATTTTAAGCATGTCCTATACATATATAAGTTTTTTAGAGGTTAAGAAAATATCTTTTTTAGGGAAGAAAATCTTATTTATTCATTGATAGTATTATTATAAATGAAGTGAAAAAATATAAAGTTATATTATTTAAATAGATATAATCAAACTAACTTTAATTAAAAGTATCACAAAGAAATAAAAAGTAAAAAATGATTTTATGGGTGAAGAGATTTTTTATAATTATATTTTTTTCTATTTTAGTCCAGTCATATATTGATTTTTTAAATTTTGTAATGTAGTTATTGAAATTGTATTGTTTGTGTTTTACTTTTACATTATTATTAAAAAATAGAATACAAACTAAATTTATTTTAACATATAATACACAAATACTCATATGAAAGTTATTACAATGTAAGAAATCATATTACTTATCAAATAAATGTTTTTTTATATATGAAGAGAGTAAAAAAATATTGTGTTGACATTTTTTACTTTTTCTATTATAACAAAATTATAGTATAGTCATCCTTTATTTTATAAATATTTTAATGTAATTTTTAAAATATATTGTTTGCTTTTTTATTTTTACATCAATATTTTAATAATTAGAATCAAAACTAACTTTTTATTTGAATAATTATAGTTATAACTAAATTAGTTATAACATATCACAAAAAACTCACATGACATTGATTTAGAGATAAAATTAAAAGTGAGACTTATTTATTAATTGATTTTTTAGGGAATTGAAATTTTTATTATAAATGAAGATAGAAAAAGTTATTAAATCATGAAATAATATTATCTTAAACTTTTCTTTTTTATTAGTTAAAAGTTTTTTATAATTGAAAAGAATAAAAAATACTATATTGAATTGGAAAGAAAATTATCATAAAACTTAATGTTTCTTTCCCAAAATTAAGCTTATTCAAAGATTTCATACCAAAATGTTAAATTTGCATTTTATATATCTTAAATTGGGTAACATATTAGATGTCAAGAAAAATATAAAATTTATTTATACGTGAAGTAAACATTTTATTTAATAGGAGTTAATAATTATACATATAATCAAATGATTTTTATGTAAATTTATAATGAACAAATATATAAGTTATTTATAGGTGAGGAGTGTATTTTATTTATTACCCGGAGTATTATAAATGTTTTTGTAAATTTTATGATTTATGAGATCCGAGGCAGGTATTAAAAATATTATTTCGTAGAGTAGTGAAAATATAATATTTTATCAAAAATAATAAATTCTATAGAACATGTTTTTAATTCTAAATTTGGAGCTATGAGTTTCAAATAAGCAATTATCATTTTCAGAAAAGAGTAAAAAAAAGTAAAATAATTGAGGAGTTTAAAATTAACTAAATTACCATTTAATATGCAACATGTCAAGTACTTAAAATGTCAAATGTTAATTTCTTAGAGATTGAACTCTCAAATTTATATATAAAGGATATATATATATATATATATATATATATATATATATATATACATATATATATCTGTGTGTGTGTGTGTGTGTGTATATATATAGAGTTTGGTTCAAATAAGAATGAAATCTAACGAAAGAAATAAGAACAAATTGTGGCCGTTTGATCTTGATCCCGAATCATTCCTTCGCCTATTTTATGTATGGGCACCGTTGTCTTTTTGCCCAGAGTCTAATCTCTCTCTTCCGGAAGATTAGCCGCGCAGGTTGAGCCTTCAATTCTCTCTCCCCCATATGGTTCCGATCGGATCTCTCTCTCCCCTCNAGTACTCCCTCCGTCCTCTAATGATCTTCCCGGTTCGCAAAACGAAGAAAAATCCCAAGTTTTTTCAATCTATTTTATTTAAATATTGGTATAGAAATAAAAAATAAAACATACATATTTAAAAACTACACCAAAAGTTCAACAAAACAAGTGGTGACAAGAATATTTTATTTTATCATATAGGCCATGAAAAAACACAAATAAATATAAATTCCCGTGAAGTTGGAATATTGCTCTGGGAAGATCATTATAGGACGAAGGGAGTAATTCAAGATCAATTTTTCTTTTTTAGTCTACCCTACAAAATTCTTTATTGGCATCACAAAACTATATGGGGACCGTTTTCATCACATTGTACGTAAATGTCATGAGGACTCCGGGTATTTCGGGGTCTAGTTCGTAAAATTAACGTTTTCTATCTCCTAACTCTCTCAGTAAACCCTCCCACCCCGCCCTAACCCGAACACACCCCCACCCCTTTCAATTACACCTCACAAATTGATTTTAACTTTAGAATCAAATTTTGACACCAAAATCAAAATCAACTTGTTGGTTCAATTGAAGAAGGTGGGAGATGTGCTCGGATCGAACGGAGTGGGAGAGTTTACCGGGAGATTAGGGGGTAGAAATCGTCAATTTTACGAGTATAGTTGTTCCAATGTCATGGAATCTCAATTTTACGAGAAATCGTCAATTTTACGAGTTCACCGGAGCGCTTTTAGATCATCCCATGACATAGGATTCCAATGTCATGGGATCTCTTACGGTACAAACATTTTTAATAGAACAATTACTT